GAGGTAAAGATGATGTTCGACCTTGTACGAAATGTGGACGTTTGCATGGCCCTAAAGGATGTAAAGCTTTTCGGGTGAACTGCTACTCCTGTGGAAAAGTGGGTCATTATGCTGAGTTCTGTCGCACACCGAGAACTACCAACTCCAACTATTATGACCGTGCCAATGAAGTGAAGGCCGAAGCTGAAGTAATTAACCAGGTACATAATGAAATATCCTCAAAATAATAACTGAGAGCCTACTTATCTTGTTGAATGTTTTCTCACGCCTATATAATAATAACAATAAATGATATGGTATGAACAAGGAATCAAAAATATCTCCAAATGACAAAATGACAAGCGATCAACGAACCGAATAATAACGCTATGTCAGAAGTTCAAAGCAATAATGATATAATCTTCTTCGTTCCTTTTCATGACAAGCAGTCCGTGCGACACAACTCACTCGGGGCGGTAGAAGGAAACGAGCAAATTGTTGGCAAACTGCTTCACGAAGTAGAGCTGAAGATGATACACGTGTTTTAATGGGAATTTTTTTGTTATGTCTTTTCTCGATTCATATCAAGCTATGTCCTCATCCATGTATATTGCAACAAAGCAGGCAAGCAATATATCATTATCCTTGTACCACTCGGATCGACCTATGTTATAGAGCGAGTTTGTCATGGTATTCGTAGCAACCGTTTTGTCTGTATCGTTGGTTGCTTTATATGTTTGGATTCGCTGGGTATGAATGATTTTTTTTTCTATTTCTACTTCTATTTTGTTTGCAGTTGATTACTCAAAACCCTAATCTTCAACGATTTTTGGAACATCCTAGGCTTGTTGATTGCGTAATCGGTACTGAATGCATCCAGTTTTTAATTGATTCTGGTGCTAATGTGAACACAATAACAGTCGATAGTTGGAACATGATCAAGAAAAAATGTAGATCAGTGGTTCATGATTTGGTAGCGTACCCAGAGGATATTTTGAAAGCCTATGCCCATCAACGTCCTCTCGAGGTCGAGTGCTCTTTTAGAGCCTACATTGGAGTGGCAAATCGTAGGGAACCATTACAGTTGGCCAAAATTTTCGTTGTAAGGGGAACTCAACTATCATTGCTCGGATTTGAAACGTCACAGAAGCTGGACCTTATCCGTGTTGGCCCTTCCAAAACAGATGAAGATAGGAGTGATTATGTTCAAAAATCTCAAACTACCTTCAGTCTGGTGACGGATGCTCGAGAATTTCCTAAGATTCTTTCCGACCCTGTCAAGTTCAAAATGGACGACTAGCGATAGGCTGCGGACTATGGAGTTGAAGGGAATAATCGAGCGAGCAGATAAGGAACATGATATTATTACACACGTCTCACCTCTTGTACTAGTACCAAAAGGCACAAATGATTTCCGGATAGTTATCGATTATAGGGCCGTCAACAAAGCAATAATTCGGGAACCTTACCCTATGCCATCGCTAGAGAAAATCTGGTCAGACATTCCAAAAGGGACAATGTTCTTCTCGAAGCTGGACTTAAAAGACGCATATTTCCATGTTGAATTACACGAAAGTGTACGCCATGTCACAACTTTCATGACCACGAATGGACTTATGCGTTTCAAAAGGCTGCCTTTTGGTCTGTCATGTGCACCCGAACATTTCCAACGGGTGATGGAGAAGTTGTTGGTCCAATTCAAAAACGTTATAGTTTATCTCGATGATATTCTTATTTATGGCAAGACGATGGATGAGCTAAGGAAAAATGTGGTGGCTGTTAAAGAAACGCTGTTCAAAAATAACCGCACCATAAATGAAGAGAAGTCGATGTACAACCAACAGTCAGTTGATTTTTTGGGGTTCACTATCGACGGATGCGGTATTCTACCTACAAAGCAGAAAATATCAGATATCAAATCGTTCGAAAGGCCCAAAAACACATCCGAAGTTCGAAGCTTCCTATGTATGATGACCTTCATAAGCCCGTTTATCAGTAATTTTGCGCATAAAACCAAACCGCTACGGGATTTGTTGTCAGTCGATGCTAAATTTGAGTGGAACGAAGAGCGTCAGATTGCTTTTGACGCGATGAAGGATGCAGCTGAGAATGATTTGTTAAAACGTGGGTATTTTGATGAAAACGATGTTACCATTTTGTACACCGATGCATTACCTTGGGGAATCGGAGGAGTCTTAGTACAGGATACAGCAGATACCGAAAATCGTCGGATCATCGCCTGTGCGTCAAAAGGTCTGACCACGGCAGAGTGCCGTTATCCGCAGTTGCATAGGGAGGCGTTGGCTATTATCTGGTCAATGGAGAGATTAGCTTACTACCTTTTAGAAAGAAGATTCACATTGAGGTGTGACAGCGAAGCACTTATGTTCATGACAAAAGCGAAAGGCAAAGATGTCGGGAAACGGATTTTGTCTAGAGCTAAAAGGTTGGATGTTGCGGATGGATCATTATTGTTTTAAGTTCGAGCATGTATCGGGAAATGAGAACATTGCTGATGCGGTTTCAAGAATTGGCAGCAGGCGCGACGATCCGCCGTTTGGTATGGATAAGGAATTCCATGAGCTATGTTCAGTTACAGCGGACCCAGGAATTATCAATGATCATCTACTAGCTTTGACCACGGTTGAAGTGAAAGAAACATTGATCAAAGATAACGAACTCCAGACTGTTATCAAATGGCCAAAACAAATTGCAAGGTATCAAGCTTTCCAACAAGATATGTAAGTGCAAGGTGAATTGTTGATGAAGCAGGAGAAAATGATTCTACCAAGTGCACTGCGTACTCGCCGCAGCCATCCTGGAATGTCCACTATGAAAAATGTTTTACGGCAAGGATTGTGGTGGCCGAGCATGGATCGGGAGGTGGAAGATTTTGTCCGAGGCTGCCCGGAGTGCCAGTTGGTAACTGCAGCAAGTAACCCATTGCCTATCACGTTGACGTAACTACCAAAGAATCCATGGGACTATGTCTCTATGGATTTCTCTACGGCGTCGGACATAAACAATTGGAAAGCCCTTGTTCTCACTGACAACTATTCTCGGTTTTTAGTTGCGTTGCCGATGGATAAGACGTTGCCGGGTTTTCAATACATACTACATACCGAAAACAATGAAAGCGGACAATGGTCCTCCATTTAATAGCACTGATCTCAAAATATGGCTACGGAGCGTCTGGAGAGTAAAACTTATTCACAGCACTCCATTGAACCCAACAGAAAATGGGCTAGTGGAAAGAAGCATGCAAGGTATCAACAAGATGACTACCATTGCGAGATTGGGAAAGAAGAATTGGAAGGAGGCCTTAGCCGATTATGTAGTAGCCTTTAATACATGGCCACATCACGTTACAAAAATACCGCCAGCTGAATTGATGTTCGGAAGAACGGTGAGAGGTTTATTGCCAGATATACGAACGGATTATCAGCAAATCATGGACGAACAATTACGAGACCGAGACCTATCATCCAAGTTCAATCACAATGTTAAAGAAGATGTTAGGCGTAAAGCTTCTAGGCTAAACATCCAGGTGGGGGACATTGTTTTGGTCAGTCAGGCGAAACGTGATAAAGCGGAAGAATGCTTTGCATGAAGTGATTGGAATTGCTGGAGCTGGGCGTGCGACAATTAAAGATTTAACCACACATAAGGTCTATGATCGTAACGTTAAATTTCTGAAGAAATTCGTGAAACGCAAGATGAGTAAGTCATTTTTTTCACGGTTATATCTCTTCTAGAATAGATGCTTTATTGAAATTGCATGATAATTCCTCAATCTCCATTTTATTTTATTTTTTTAGCTGCACCAGAGGAAGTATTAGGGTCACGCTTTTCTGTGCAACCCGAGCAGGAACTGAACGTTGACGACACACCACCGATGACAACAGAAGCTTCTCCTGCTCATGGTATAGGTAATGATGAACAGTCCTTACCCAAACGCAGAAACACAAGAGAAATCAAGCGGAGGCAAAGATATCTTAATACTGTGAACAACGATATTTGAAGTGATGTGATTTTAATGGGGAGGATGTGGTATTCTGGTTGAGCGTGCAACAGTGGGAGAGAGATTTCTGAGAGAGTTGGGCATAAAGGGTCGGAGGCGACGAAGGTGGAATAAAGATGGTGTGTTTTGATAATCTAAATGAATAAAGCGTAGTGTTTTGACTGGCATTTAATACCGATGATCCTGGGGATATCACAACATCTAAGAGAAAAACTTGTTTAAATTCACGAAAGAACGCATTTTCATGGAAATTGTTAAGCGGCTGCTCTGCCAGGTTCGTTTTCTAACGATGATCAAAACAAATCCGTACGACGCTGCGTCGAAGGCAAAGAGCTGGAAAACTTCCGGTCAGTACAGTTGATGGGCGTTCTTTCCGCTTTTACTTAGCAAACAAACAACGTTCACCAGATTGGTTAATATGCCACCAAATTTTTTTCCATAGTTCATTTTCGTTTTTATTTTCTCCATTTGTAGTTGTTGAATTCATCGGATGATTGGTAGAGTTGGTTGTTGGTTGGTTTTTAGTTATCTTAAACACTAAAGTAAACATTACAGACAAGTTTTGTAATTGGTATCCACGAATCCGTCTCTCCTGAAACTGATGCCAGCTTGTTATCTTTCGTTTTTAGAAATGGTTGTAAGTATAATAGGTGTATGCGTTTTGTGTGTGTGACTGTAATATTTCGCTATTGGTTTTTGTCAGAGTTTCTGCACTGCGCATCTCGCTTGTGGCTGGTAGAACTGTTACTGTTATAGTGCCTATAATCGCATATCAGTTCCATATGGATTTTCGTCAATTATGAGGTAACAACGCTATCCACTATCAATTGGCATCTGCTTTCATATTATATGATACAACTACGGACTTTGATCATGGAAAATGTAGAAACAACATCAAGTCAGTTTGTCCCATCATGCAAAGTAATCGTGTATCAGTACCATCCTGAAATTCAATCGCACAGTTCTTTTTTTTTAAATTGCCTTATTCTTCGCTGATATAACAAAACATTGCATTAATTCATCTCTGATTCCTCTAATTCGTAACAACTACTGCCATTTTCCCAATGCCTGCTTTCCATATGGGACTGAAATGCGATTATAGGCAATACTAATAATAATAGTCCTCCTTTATTTTCGTGCAGAAAGGAATTTTACTAGTAGAAGTTTTAGAAGTTGTTGGTGCCCTTTTAGAAACGGGCATTTTTCCTATAAAGTGTACAGATAAAATTAATGTTACACGTGCACGGGGCACTAGTTAAACAATTTTGTTTTCCATTTATCCTGCATTTTGTGTAGGGTTTATTTTAGTTTTGCAAATGTTTTAAAGCTAGGAAATTAAAAACTAAATAAAATATATATGGATCATAATAAAACACTTTTTCTCATTAAAAACTACCAACAAACTTACAGATTACAGTACCATTTGTTTACTTAGTTAAGACTCATTCGCTATATCTCTTGCCATCGATTATCTCCTAGGTATGTGTATCTCATTAATAATGTAACGCGGAAAAATTTTGTGGATGGGAACAATACTATCAATTTCAATGTGAAAAAAACTCATATCACTCACGTTTGCCTTAATCGTCGATTTACACAACACGTAAAACTATATGCACAACTTCGTGTAAACTAGATTAGCATGATTTCTTTGTATTTCTTGGACTTAAATGACTCTCTAAAAAGTATCAATATAAACACTCTCTTCTGTTCCATTTGTAACAAACACACAAACACACTACGACACTCATTGCCACCCGGGACATCAGAATTGAACCCATAAGCTCGCTCGCTCGCTCGCTCGTCATTCTCCCTCCAGCAGTAGCAACATTGCGTTGATGCAAACACCGCCACCAACACCGTGCGACGAACTTGCCATTAACTCGGATGCAAATCTGCACCCTGATGGTAATACGATGCTGTCGTACCGCCGCCGGCCACGGATCGGCCGGACGTAATGACGGAGGCCGTCGTAGTGGGCGAAATCAGAGGGGTATTTACGGAGCCAAAATATTCCATCGGGGAACCACCGCCGACCCCCAGAAGACTACCGTTGTCGTCGAGCTCGGCCATCAGGTTGGAATTATCGCTCGGGAGGTCTCCCACCATCATGATGGCCGCTGGATCGACCAGATCGTCCACGGAATCGTTGGATAGCAGGTTGTTGATGGCGATTGCGGCGTTGCCTGCCACCATGGCAGCACCACCACCATTACCGACTCCGCCGCCATTGGACCGAATTTGGCTGGTGAACTGCTGCTGAATTGACTGTAGGATTTCTCGTTGCTCTTGTTGTTCTTCCTGCGGGTGGAAAATTGAAGTTAGTTAAAGTTTGAAGTTTATGTAGCAGAATGTGTGTTTCAGAAAATGCTAGTCAGGGGCATTAAATAATTACCTAAGCTCTTAGGGGGTCTCAGATACATCTTACGTTAGCATGAACAAGTCATATACAGACCATTCAAATATTCGATGTAAGATTTTTAAAACGATAAGGGGAGGGGGGGGGGTGTACAATATAACTAAGTCTTACAAAGCACACTGGGCACAAAAAAGTAAAAATTTATCAAAATTCACGCTGAAGGAACATGATCATATATTATAATGGTTCTTACAGAAAAAATATCTCAGGAATCGAATAGAACTGGTTTCACTTTGAGCAGGATAGCGCAAGTTGGGGTAGAGGCGGTTTTATTTTAAAATACCTGAAAAGGACCTTTGCCACAGAAGTTATTGAATTTAAATACATATTTACGTTTTTCCCTCTATATGCAATGGGGGAGTATATAGTCGCTGTATTTATAGTCGCTATATTTATAGTCTGGCGGATAGAATTTCGTTCTATCAAAAAGCGGAACCAATTCAATATACTGTAGACCAACAATTGAAAAAGTACTATCAACTTTTATAAACAAACCGTTAATTATTCTTTCCTTACCAATCTAACGCAAATTACTAGCATCATCGAATAGGGAAAATTTTCCCCAAACCAAAAATGGTGTTGGTTTGCGTAGGCGAGCCTTGACTCACAAGAAAAGGGTTTCCGAAGTTTTGTTCACAATACATCATGCTCTTTTCTGTTGTTGGTCATGATCTGCTCGATTGGTTCCGCTATTTGACACCTCTATTGGTTCCCGAGATTCTATCCGCCAAACTATGAATATAGCGACTAAAGGGGAGGGGGTCTAAAAATCCTAAAAAAAAGTGCTTACGTAACTATTGCGAGGCTGGCGACGTGCACTGCATATAATCGCATATTAGTCCCATATGGATTTTCGCCAATTTTAAGATAACAATGTTATTCACTACCAATTGACATCACTTTCATATTGCATGATACAACCAACCAGTAGAAACTAACGATTTTAAATTGGCTCACTACTTGACTAGCCTATTGGTCCCAAGCAAATCGATTAACGTACCCCATTCTAGTTGAAATTGGCTATATTTATATTTGTTGGCTTTTATTCGCTATGAAAGTTTTACAGATAAAATGAGGGGTTCGTGGATTTTCCTATGTTTCGAGGGGTGCATCGATTGGCTTGCGACAGAAGATAGTACCAGAGCTGATCCAAAAAGTTGAGCACGTTTCTTTGGGACCTTCTAGTCTTAGAGTTACCTCTACGATACAACTACGGACTTTGGTCATGAAAAATGAAAAAAACAACATTAGTTAGATTTCTGCTTTTTGGATCGCCTTATTTTTCGCTGATACAACAAAACATGTAACAGTGCAGGTAACTCTAAGACCAGAAGATCCCGAAGAAACGTGCTCAACCTTTTATCTCAGATCTGGTACTCTCTTCGATGTACCCCTCGTGTTGGCGCTGGGATCACTGCCTCAAGTCGCGATGCGTAGTGTTACCCGAACCGAACCGCGGAGTTCAACTGTCTGTTGTCATCAAATGACAGGAGCGAACGAAGAGAGAGAAGGAACATCGTAAATGAAAGGAAGAAGTGGATAGTCGGTCAGCAAAACAATCTTGAGTTAATACTTAGTGATTCTAGTGAAAAGTGTGAATCCTATATTCTTAATCTATTTGAATTAGTAAATTAGTTATTGGTCTAGCCTATGAATTAGTAAATCTAAATTGAAAACCTACACGAAATTTTCTCATAGCGTGGAAAACATAACCCAGCGAACAGAAACTTTCATCTGGTGAAAGCACCGAAAGTTTTAAAGCTGCACCTATCCAAAATTTGTGCTGCTCACAACCCGGTGTTCATTTCTGTTCGCCACCGTAACACACTTTAAAACTTTCGGTTAAGTTCACTAACATGAGTGCGAAACAAGCCAGCGATAATGCTGAGTCATCCCACACGCCGGACAGGAATCGATCGGGAGGCTGCGTGAGCTGCTCGCGCCCCGTATCGTTCGACAATTTCGTCCAATGTGACCAGTGCGACAGCTGGTGGCACATGAGCTGTGCGGGGGTGACGGAATCGGTCGCCGAGCGGGCATTTACATGCCGCAATTGCTTGCCGTTGAGAGTCAACACTAAGTCGACCAACCGGTCAGCTCGAATTGCCCTGAAGCTGCAGAAACTGGAGGAGGAGCGCGCCATTCAGCAGCGCGCCTTGGAAGCCGAGAAGCGGGCCATCGAGCAGGAGAAGAGGCTCATGCAGGAGAAATATACCCTGCTGGAGGAACAGTTGGACGAAGAACGGGACAACCAAAGCAACCGCAGCCGGGTGAGTCGACGAGCGAGTCAACAACGTGTGACACAATGGGTGCAACAGCATTCCTCGGAAATCGCGCCAGGTGAGGAAGCCGCAGGAGGATTACCGAAGTCCGACGAACCGGTCGAGCGCCGTAATCCAACGGGGTGTCAGACGGAAGTCAACCCAGTGAAGGAGCAGGAGAAGGTGATATTATCGCCGATGGATCACAATCCGGCGCAGCAGAAGCAACGACGGAAAACCTTAGTGGAAGTATCGAAGCTTTTTTGGAATCAGCAGCGGAAAACAGGCGCGATTCCCAAGACGGTTCCGGATCAGCGAGTCGAAAGTCGTATGACGACATTTATTGGTAACCCTTTCCCCTCTGAGCCCCCCGTAATTCCACCAGGTAAGCCACCACTTAATTCTACTATACATAAGGATGTTGCTCAACCGAGTCAAGATTATTCGGATATGCTAGCGAAATTGGGGATTAGTCCGACTCTCGTTAACCCGAGTCAGGCAAAATTAATTGGGACTGAGCCTGTTCTACTAGGCCATCCCGCCCCTACGGTTCTTCTCTCTTTGCCTTTGGGATGGAATCAAACCCAGTTGCCTCCAACAACGGGTCCCAATGTTGGCCATATACAGCCGAGTGTGCCCGGCACTATTCCGGCACCAAGTGTGCCTCTAACTTTTCCGGCACCAAGTGTACCTCCCACTTCTTTGGTACCAAACCCGGTACCTGCCCCTTCGCAGTTAGCCGCACGACAAATAATGCCTCGCGATTTACCCCCTTTCGCCGGTGACCCCGCGGACTGGCCGATCTTTGTCAGTTCTTTCGTGAACACAACCGCCGCGTGTGGATATTCGAATGTGGAAAATCTTGCCAGATTGCAACGGTGTTTGAAAGGTGCCGCGTATGAAGCCGTGCGAAGCCGTCTTTTACTACCAGAATCAGTGCCACAAGTTATTAACACCCTCCAGCTGCTTTACGGACGTCCGGAGCTGTTAATCAACGTGCTGTTGGAAAAGGTGCGGTCAACTCCAGCGCCCAAGGCGGAACGTCTCGAAACACTCATCGAGTTTGGGATGGCGGTGCAAAGCTTGTGTGACCACCTGGAGGCAGCGGGTCAACATGCACACCTTACGAACCCGTGTCTGCTGATGGAGTTAGTGGAAAAGTTGCCCGCCCACGTCAAGATGGAGTGGGCAAATTTCATGCAGCGGTACCCGGCGGTGAACCTCAAGACCTTCGGGGACTTCATGAATGGCGTGGTGGTGTCGGCCAGCAAGGTGACGCAGTTCACAGGAGGATTCGGGAAAGGTGCCAACGTGGAGAAGTCAAGGATGAAGCATAAGGGAACAATCAACACACATGTAAGCCAGCCGGAGCAGCCGAAGAACGAGGAGAAGCAGTGTTGCGTTTGTAAACGACGTGGACATCGTGTTCGGGATTGTGACAGTTTCAAAGCGCTCTCCATCGACAATCGTTGGAAGGAAGTGCAACACAACGAACTCTGCCGCAGCTGCTTAAATGCGCACGGGAGACGAAGTTGCCGGAATGCCAGTCAATGCGGAATCAACGGATGTACCTTTCGGCATCACCCTCTGCTTCATTCTAACCGTAGTAATCAACCATCCGGAAGAGCGACAACGCTGAGGCCAGCTTCAAATATCGAATCCGCTGGCAACCATGCGCATCGTATGTCGAATCAATCGTTACTTTTTCGCATTATTCCCGTAACACTTTACGGACCAAAGAAAACGGTGAAGACCTTCGCCTTTCTGGACGATGGGTCGTCCCTTACACTCGTTGAAGAGGAGCTCGCAAACGACATCGGCGCCAGCGGAAAAGCGGCACCATTGTGCCTAACCTGGACGGGTGATGTGTCTAGAATCGAAGCAGACTCGAAGCAGCTACAGCTGAAGGTATCAAGCGCTAACGATGGAAAGCACTACAAACTGGAGGATGTTCGTACCGTAAAGAAGCTGGCTCTGCCGGGTCAGACGCTGCACATCAACGATTTCGTGGACAAGTTCAGACATCTCAAAGGTCTTCCGCTTGCTGGATATGAGAACGCGGTCCCTCAGTTGCTGATTGGGGTCAATAACTTGCGACTTACCATTCCGTTGAAGGTGAAAGAGGGTGAAATCAACGAACCGGTCGCCGTGAAAACTCGTCTCGGCTGGTGCATATACGGAGGAGGTGGTGTTCCCTTGTCAAATACACTCAACTTCCATGCTTGTGACTGTGACCGTGAACTGCACGAAATGATGAAGGACTATTTCGCCCTCGAGGACGTCGGTGCCAAACCAGTGATCGAATTGGTTTCGGCCGAAGACAGAAGAGCTCAAGAAATTTTGGAAAAAACCACTGTACGCGTAGGCGATCGATTCGAGACCGGCTTGCTGTGGAGGTATGATGAAATTGAGTTTCCGGAGAGCTACGGAATGGCTTTGCGAAGACTCGAGTGCCTAGAACGTCGGATGGCTAGGAATCCATTGTTGAAGGAGAACATTCACCGTCAGATAGAAGAATATCAGCTGAAAGGCTACGCGCATCGAGCCAGTGAGGAAGAGTTGAAGACAACCGATCTTAAACGGGTCTGGTACCTACCACTGGGAGCAGTGGTGAATCCAAA